GCGTTGAAACCCGTCCAACCGTCACATGAATGCTCTTTGAGCTAAACGACTTGTGAAAGCCCGTAAGGGGAATCAAGTGGCAGGGAAAGCCTAAACGGAAATTATCCACCTTTGGTCGTCAGAAAGAGAGAAAGGGAACCCAATCCCAGAAATGGCCGACGGATACAAGGTCCACATCGATAAGTTGGATGCGGAAAACTATAGAACGTGGAGTTTGAAGATCAAGTTTCTTTTGACTTCCAAGGATCTATGGAACGGGGTTGAGGATCCCGTAGCGCACCCACTCAATCAAAGAAAGCGTTGTCCATCTTTGGGCTAAACGTTGAAGACCATTTGGGGTCGATTGAGGAGTGCAAAACCGCAAAGGAGGCTTGGGGTTTCCTTGAGAAGACCTACAAGAGCACAACTAATGCAAAGAAGATGCAACCTCAGGCAAGAGTTGCATTCTCTCAAGGTGAAGCCGGGTGAGTCCGCGACCATATATGTTGGTCGGGCGAAGGATTTGTACAGGGACTTGGTCGCCACCAATTTTGAGATGAAGCCAAATGAGTTAACATGGAGCGTGCTTGCAGGATTGCCCAAAACGTTTAGTATCCTGAGAAGAATCCTGGAGGCTTCGGAGAGCGCCATTAGCTTGGTGGATGCGATTCTGCCGAAGCTTTTGGTGCATGAGCAAGAGTTTTACAAGTCGCCCAAAGAAAAGAGCGGCGGTGGGTCGGACCCCGCAGTGACCTATGTGGCCGGACGGAAAGGAAAGGAGAAAGTCCACGGCAAGGATGAAAGCCCGGGCAAAGGGCCCAAGTGCTATAATTGCGCATGGTGCGGTCACATTGCCCGAAAGTGCAGTAAGCCGGATAGGCGGGAGCACAACCGGAGCAAAAGAAGGGGGAAAAACCTCCCAATGGTGTGGCCTTTTGCGTCATTGAGGGGGGTGTCGACCAATGAGTGGCTCGTCGATTCGTGTAGCTCCCAACATATAACCGGGGACAAGAGCCTATTTGAGATCCTCGAACTGTTCAAGAAGAGTGGCCGAGAATTTACCTTCGGGGACAAGGGAACCCTATGGGTAGAGGGGAGCGGCTCTGTCGAGCTGCAATGTGCGACACCACCCGGAGAAAGTCTGGTCACTCTGCAGAAGGTGATATGTTCCAGGGGTGGCGGCGAATTTGATCTCGGTGAGCAAGGCCACCGAGGTTGCGTCAGTGATGTTCAAGGAGAACGGCAGGTATGAGCTTGAGGTTGACGGGGACGTAGTCCTTGTCGCTCGGAAAGTGAAGGGGGTCTATGTGGTCAACCGGGCGGCGAAGGACACGTGCTTCTTCGTGAAGAAGCCGGAAACGGCAGAGTTGTGGCACCGACGGTTGGGACACGTCGGGTACGAAAACTTTCAGAAAATGGTGCAGGGCGACGTCGTGGAAGGGCTTGAGGTGGAACCGAGTGCATTTAGGGCGCTTGAAACCTCGGTGTGTGAGCCCTGCATAATGGGGAAGCAAAGTAGGCTCCCTTTTCCGGGAGCCGATTCGGTGAGCACGGAGCCTCTTGAGCTAGTCTACATGGACGTCTGTGGGCCAATACCGGTAGCCTCGGTAGAGGGAAGCCGGTACTTTGCCACATTCTTGGACGACTACAGCAAACTCTCGGTTGTAGTCCTCATGAAGCAGAAGAGCGAGGTGGCCAAGGTCACCGAGCACGTGATCAACCCGTTGGAGTTGCAGCCGAGGAAGCAGCTCAAGTTGGTGCGTACGGACCGGGGCAAGGAGTACGTCAACAAGGCCTTTAAAGACGTTTTCGGGGGCAAGGGGATGGTTGACGAGAATACCGCCCCCAATAGCGCCAAGCAGAATGGGTCGGCGGAACGGCCTATCCGAGTTTTCGGAGGAAAAGACCCGGGCAATGCTTGAGGACTCGGGGTTGCCAAAAGAGTTGTGGCGGAAGCCGTGATGACGGCCAACTACACCCGGAACCGGACACCCGTGAACGCCAATGGGAAGACTCCTGGGAAGTTTTTCTTCTGTGAAAAGCCGAATGTCGGGCATATGAGGGTTTTTGGGGCCCGAGCGTTCCACCACGTCCCCAAGCAGCGGAGGCGTACGCTAGATCCGGTGAGCGAGCGATGTGTATTCGTGGGGCACGAGCCGGACTCGAAGGCGTTCAGGACCGTGACGGGAAGTTAATCAACTCTCGAGACGTCATCTTTGACGAGGGGATCGGGGGAAATGGGGTTGTCGAGCTTAGCTCCGACCCCACGGACGGTTCCCAGACGGCGGAGGAGCATGTTCACACGGCGGCCCGGGGGGTGCCAAAGTTGAATCTCTGCTCGACGACTTGCGGCCGCCGCGCGCGCTTTCACAACGGCCAAAATGAGAGCAACTTTGAATCTGTGCGCGAGACCCACGCAGAGCCGGAAAAGATTGAGGGAGATATCAGGATGCAAACGCCGGCTGCCCAGAGGTACCCCGCGCATGAGAGACGCGCACTGGGGGAGTAAACCGCGCTAATCTAGCGGCAAAACCGAGAGCGGGGGACCACCTCAAAGAAACGGGGGAGCACCGAGAACCGCAGACCTATCAGGAAGCCGTAGGGGGAGAAGGGAGTGAAGTATGGCGAAAGTCAATGAACGAGGAGATGCTGTGACGGTTTGGACAGGGTCACACGCTGCCTGTCTA